CGCCCTTCTTATCCTTCTTGTCCTTCGTGACTCCGCTCACTGACAGTTCAGATTCACCAGATGATCTGTTTGTAGTAAAAATTAAAATTACGACTTTACTAAAACATTTTACGATCTAGAAAATACATAGATTTAATTACAAAATTGACTAAAACACTAGAATGTGTCTCAAAAGAACATATTTATATGATTCAGTAAAATACTTCGAAGTACGTGAGTTGGCACGTCATTACAAACGTTTTGTTCTATTTGGCGTGCCAAGTAATTTGTAATTACCTTGAAGCTGGTCTCTGGTCCAGTGCTGGAGAGCCGCCGCTGCCGGCCACTGAGGCGGGCCTCGTGCTGCCTGCACTGCCCTCGCCGTATGCTGTAGGAAATAAAGTCCATTATTGTACAGCAAACACATGACAAGCTAAGATGAAAATATTTACAAAAGAGATAAAGAATAAATTAAATTTATAACAATATTTAGTAACAATCTAAGGGGCAAATTAATGCCCCTGTCGAGATAATTCAAGATAAACGTATAGTAAAGTTGAAAATACGACTTCACTAAAACTAACCTAAAATATAAACACCAAATACAATAATAAATATACAAGCATACTAAACTACAAAGCTTAGAGAACAGCAGCGTCCCAACTTAACAAACAGCAATAACATAGAGCTAGATATCTACATATAGCATTTACAGTAAATATTAGAAAAGCCACAACAAAAGCCTACGATAATCACTGACCACTACAAATAGACAGGCTAGAGATATGGATTGGCCTAATTTACTTTTACGACATTTTGTCGAAAATGTAAAATTAAATTCGAATTTGAACAGATAAAACTATCGAATGAAGCAAAAGTTATTATTTCCTAGCAATAACCTATCTATTTATCATCAGTGACCTAAATAAAAGAAAATTGACCAAAAAAAACATTATTTTAATAGTCATTTTTATCTAATGTGTGCGTAAAAAATAATGTTTACTTGTTATATAATAGCGGACGTACACCTTTGACCAAACTATCGCACAACAGTTGTGCGATTATCGATTGTTTCCTCAAAACTGTTCAGTTCACGACTAAAAAGTTGTGCGATCCAAGCTCATAAGAAAAGAGGGACTAAACAGTTGTGCGATAGTTCGAAGGTGTGGTCTAAAAGATTCCCACACGTGGACGTACATTGCACTTTATGCAGAACATACAGCAAGTTGCTGGACCCTGCACCGACACCAGAACATATTAGTATACAAGAAACAACACGTTCATAATAACATGACACCCGTCTGATGACGTCACAACACTCTTGAATAACTAAAAGTCTCTACCTTTTAAATTTGCCAATAAATCGTTATAAGAGCTATTCAAGTAAATATGTTTGTTTTTGTCATAATTAAAAGACTTAAATGTAGTCTAAAAACGTAATCGTATCATGTTATTGTGCACGTATAGTATTTGAAATATAAAATAATAATAAATATATTTTGATAACATTTTCTTTTTTTTTTACCAAAACACAATAAAAATTATTTTAAAAAATATACTAAAATGCGTTAAGACTAAAAGTACATTTTTTAATAAAAACCCATCCAAAAATTAAAGCTAGAATTAGATATAAAAGTATTAGCCTGTCCCAAAACTCGCTGATAGAGACTCAGATAGCTTAATGTAACTCTTAAGGTAACAAAATCCAAATATCCATCACACATTTTACACAATTACAATTTGGTGGGACAGACTACATTTAAAAAAACTATAAGATAAGAATAATTTTGTATTTAAAAATTAAAATAATCCATATATTAACAATATAAATAAACAATTCAATATTAACTACATAAAGCCCACTAAAGCTTTGTTTTCAGCCAGGCTTCAGTCACTCACCATACAATATATTCAAAATGCAAGAAAACCAGTATATAATTATCATTTACTCTATGTACAAGAGTATATATTTCTGTGTACATATATATACAGTGGGAGACAATATTTTATAACTGTAAAAAAAAACCATAGATAAAATAAAAGCATCGCCTCCATAAGTATCAAATAAAAAAGTAATTCAAATATTTTGATATGTTTAAAATTAGCTAAATTTAGATAAAATTGTGTATTTTTTATAATTTAAATTTTAAATACATTGTTATTTGAAATAACACAATCCTAACTACATCACTGACCGAGCTCGCTGGTCGAGTAGAAATGTGAGGTCTCCACCGTCTGCCAGTTGTTATTCTGACCCTGACCCTGGCCCTGCCAGGTTGGGTTCCTGTTCTGGTCCTTCTCCTGCCAGCTTCTGCTCATCTTCTGCTGGTAGGAGTTCACCAATGCTGTGACGGATTGCTGGGGGTTCTTCTCCAGTAGACCTCGTTCAGCTATCATGGATGCTCTCTCTAATCTTTCTGGTCTCTCAGTGGGGATCCTCTCCGTGGTGTGAGGTACACGTTCAGGGAGGTTGGGTCCTCGTTCAGGGAGGGCTGGTGCTCTGTCGGGGACGGGAGGTCTCTCTGGAGGCACGCTCGCTGGAAGGGGAGGGACTCCGCCCTCCGCTAGTGGGGTGTAAGGGTAGTGTAATATGATGTGGTAATTAATTATGAAAATTATATTTTAACATGATAGACAATAAAATATTGAAGACAAACAAACAGGACTTTGAACACGGACAAAGCATCATCCCTTAAGCAAAATTATATGACTAAAATGTTCCCTAAAGACTTCCCTAAGGAATCTATAAATGAAAAATATATATAAAAATACTTTAAACATGACCATTTTAATAGTATCTACCTCCCTTGTGATATACCCGTTATATTAGAATAACAGTAATAATGTTCTAATTCTGCTCACCCTCTCTCTGCGAGCGCAGGAACTCCGCGTTAAGGTCTCTGCCGTTGGAGAAACGCGACCTGCCCCAGGGGCTGCTGCTGCGCTCTGACGCATTCCTGAAATGCACCTTATGTTATATGGAGTAAGGTAGAAAATTAAATGGCTTTTTAACAAATTTGATGTCAAATATATGTCAAATTATCAATAGCAAATGTCAAAATGACATAACATGACAAACTTTGACAATCATGCTTCCTTGATGTTGGCAGCAATTTATGGTCTCTTTCCCACATTAGGGTTTTTATACAAAATATTTATCCCCTAAGTTTAATGTCGTGAAAATATATAGCCTTAAGCGTGACGTGACGTAGGGCTATTAATTAAAAAAAGAATTATTCAAAAATATGGTGTAATTGCTGACATCTTGGCAACAAAGAAGTGTGTGTTTACGCTTTATTATAATAGTATAGATTAACAAAAAAAAATAGTAAGCATAATTGACACTTGATTTAAAAGATTTTTAAAAAAATTAACGCTACCTGGTGTCTGATAATCAAAAACTCAAAAAACAAATAATTTTCAATACTAAGAAGTGTTTTGTCGTTTCAAAGACATTGAGATATTAAGTAAGATGTTACCAGTAGTCTTGGGTAGTACACGTACGATGTACTAAAAAGAAATGTTACTCGGCACTGTACTAAAAGTAACGTTACCCAACGGCTTCTGTTAATCGGACATTTAGTACTTTTAGTACACTACACGATATCGGTGTTCGCCTTTTTGTCAGATTGAAGCATCCACCTTCGATAATGACAATCAAAAGTGGATAAAATTATTCATAACTAAATTTATTTTCGTTAATAACATGATTGACTCTGCTCAAAATTTGAATCTATAACCATTGTTATATTTTATTCATGTTATTGTTTTCTCACAAATCTGAAGAACTAAGCGTACTAAAAGTGTGTACTAGTACGTTTTCCCAATTGTACTAGTACGGTGCGCACTTGCAGATGTCCGATTAAGCCCAAGACTAGTTACCAGTGAAAAAATGTATATGTCTAGTCTATATTCCTGAAATATCTGGATTTCAGTAACTTAGTACCTGAGTACAACATCTGCGGGTTCTTCGTGCGCCTGCGCCGGCTGCGGCGGCTGACGCGGTGGTAGTGACGGCAACACTGCTGATTCTGTTACAATTTACATAAAAACCACTATAAAAACACATCTTACAGACACATTTATTCATAATAATATGTGAACAAGTCCAATAGACAAGTATTTTCATTGTGGGCGGAGCATAGTGCAGGTCCCGCCCACATACTAAGCCCCGCCCCTTACACAAAAGTACCTACTAACATTACATTATTTATGCGAAATTCAGCATCAAAAAACTGTAAAAATGATAGTAGTATAAAAATTTCTGTCACTTATATAATACTAGCTATCGCCCGCGACTCCGTCTAAGTTGAATTAAAAAAAGCAAGTACTCTCTATCTTTGCCTAATTTCTACTCTTTACCTTTCTTTCAACACATCTAAACTTTCACAATCATAATATTGAAGCGATTTTTACCAATATGTCGTTCCGGAGTGGCGGAGGCGCGCTGTGAGGGCAGCTGCTCGGCCTGCGTCGCGGTCTGCGAGTTCCTGTGCTGCTGCAGGATCTCGGCCTGGCTGCGGGCGGCGCGCTGCGGCTCCGGGGACGACGCCGCTGATGATGACGAGGATGCATTCCTGGCGGACATATACAAACATGAACAAGTGTTGTGTACTGTCAGGTAATTTGTCGGTCCCCGTTGTTTGTACATATTGAAAAGACGCAATCATAACTAACAGGATACAGAAATTGTACGGAAAAAACTGTAGCACATGGCTTTTACTAAAAGACATATTAATATTATAAAGGGGAAAGATTAGTATTTTTGTATGTATTGAAATAATTCAAAAACTCCAGGACCGATTTCAAAATTCCTTTCCCCGTTAGAAATGTAATTTATCTGTGAATACCATAGGTTATATTGTTTAATTTTACGCAGGTAAAGTCGCGAGCAACAGCGAGTATATAATAAGGTGGCATTAGTTAGACAATGATTCGAGTGATTTTTACAATCTCTTTGGCTGTTATACCTAACTAGCTGTTGCAAGTGACTTTGTTCAAGTGAAATTAAAAAATATAGCCTATGTTACTCATTGATAACTTTAAATGGTAAAAGAATTATCAAAATCGACCCATTATTTGTCGAAATACAAATTACTCCTCTTTATATTAGTATAGGTTGGTTAGAAGTACAACACTGCGCGATTCCGCGACTGTACATACTGGTGCAGCCGCCGCCTCAGCTCGTCAGTGGAGACGGTGGAGACGGTGGAGAGGGTGGGCAGGGTGGAGGCCTCGCTGTAGGGTGTGAGCTGCAGCTGCGGCGGCAGGTGCGCGTGGAAGGCCAGCTTGGCCACCCACTCGGCCAGCAGCTGCTGCGAGCCGCACGCGAACAGGTACTCCGCGCCGTCGCCGCACGACAGCCGGAACACGTGCGCGCGCTTCGTGTAGTCGCTGGCGGCCTCGCAGCGCGCCTGCACACACACGAACATACATACATACATACATGCATAAAACTAATATTATAAATACAAAAGTTCAGATGGTTGGATGGATGGAAATTTTAAGAAGATATCTCTAGAAAGGCTTAACGAATGTCGATTAAATTTGTCACAGATGTACAACATCTGGAAGAGCGCATAGAATAAATCCTTTTTTATTTCACTTTTTTAGTTTATTTAAAAGTTAATTATCTATTTAATAATTTACTTTTGTTTTTCTATTGCACTCAGAGTTTGTTATAAAATATTCTAAAGGCCTGTCCCACTACTGGCTGATAGATCAGATAGCTTAATGACGTCACTATCAGAGGGAACAAAACCCGATATTTCCATCACATATTACACGTTTATTATCAACTAGCTTTCGCCCGCGATTCCGTTCGCTTGAAATTAAATAAAACTGAACAGCCTATATGTTCTTCCAGAATACTTTCTACATTTATGCCAAATTTCATCGAAATCCGTTCAGCAGTTGAGGCTACAAACACTAACAAACATCCATCCATCTAAACTTTCGTATTTATAATATTAGTAAGGTTTACAATTTTATGGGACAGGCCCCAATTTTTTAAAAAAAGTTGTAACTAACGTTAAGTATGGCGACCGGTGGGGCGGCTGCCTTGGCGCTGCC